TTCATCAATGAGCTTGGAAAGAATTATTTAAAAAGTACGCAAAAATATGCCTAAACATTTATCATAAGATGTAAATTTCTTAAGGAAACTAATCTGTCAGTTGAAATGGAAAAAGGAAAAATTGAACCCGTTATAAATTTGTGGGTAAAATCCTAAAATTCAAACTTTCCATTAAGAAAAGCATGAAAATCTTGACAATTTCAGGGTTCGAACTACTTATTGTACCTCGATCTAATTTTCCTCCAATATCCCCTCAGTCTTCATTGGAAAATTGGTTCCTTGAACTATAATATTTCCTTATGAGGTGTGTGATAGACTTACCTCCACGTGGTGCACCCTGGGCAACGTATACTCATAAGGCAAAATGTCTATTAACTGGCAGTTGACTTTTGACTACAAATTACCTTGACCCCACTGTATGTCATATTCCACCATTTCGGCAGATTTCGCCTTACCTTTTATTCAATATTTATGCCTGTCTGTCTCTTTTACATCTGTGAATCATTATTCTGTCCTCCCCCTCTCGACTTTTTGTCACTTTGATGTTCCCCCTCCTCCTCTGTGAAACCTGAAGTCAGCTAAAGGGCTAATGATAACTATCAAAATGCCTGCCATTTGAAATAAATAAAATAAATATTTTCTTATTGCTCTGTAATGCATTGGAGAATAATGGAATTTCCTAAGTGTAGGCATGCAGTACAATAATTGAAAACAACTCAAGTGTCAACTGAAGGCGGTTTCCAAGCACATTTGCAAAAAATTCTAATCAAATTAATCATTTCAGTCCCTTGAAAATAGTCAACTAGAGAGTGTATAAAGGTAGGTGAAAAAAATAGGCTAAGAGTGCAAAGAAAGTGTTGTTAATGCATTCTTACCATGGTGGCAAAATTTGTAATGAATTGCTTGGTGGGCCACTGAGCTGTGGAAATCTGCGTCTCATACGTGTAGCGAGTACACGGCACTTGACAACCGGTCTCACTGGTGAGAGTATTTCTTCTGATGGTGCTGGAGCAATTCATTCGATTGACAAAGCTTCTCACCGCCTCCTCACTAAAATATTGCCCTCTAATCTCCTCCCCTTTGCGTGAGCTAATATTCACAACTGGAAGTTCAAAGTACTGACAATAGGGCAGAGAAGCATTGATGAGATGACAAGGAACTGGCATGTCGTAGAGCAGGCAACCGCACTGCTCGGCGCACATTTCCTGGAGAACGTCTTGATGACACGCTTTTTCCGTGTAGGTGTAATTCTGTCCGGCGAAACAGATTTCTTCTGGTGCCTCGTGGCTGCATCTTCCGTAGGGTGGTGTCATCATTGACCACTCGTGAACTGTGAAGTGGATGTCAGTTAGAGTCCCTGGCATTAGATTAATTCCCTCCTCTATTATTCGAGGGTAACTAGAGGCTGGATTAAGGAGTAAGCGGGCTCCGGTTAACTGACTACCTCGAATACGGTCCTACAAAGTCATTACAGTACATTTTTTGTCAAGTTTGGAAGTGGGTCATTTCGTGCAGGCATGGATGAAATATGCTAAAGAGTTTATAACTTGAATCATTACTCCAAAATAAGATATTGGTTAATGTAGGGATTTTTAATTTAATATACGACATGGCATATGACTACTCATGGGTGTTAATCGAGTTGTCAATAGTAGAAATACGGGAATTCAAGTCCAAATATATTAGCTGGAATATGCACAGTGCAGTGAAAACTTCCCAATTTCTTCCTGTGACAAGCACTTTTAGTCGGATGACAGTGAGACTTATTAATGATTAATGGAGGGTATTTGACATAAACTTTGTGAATACAGTCCCATTTTGAAGTATTTTATGCTGTAGAATTCCAATTTTATGATTTGCAATTGAATTGGTGGACACATTCCTGATGGTGAAATGCAGCCGAAAATTAAGAACAATTAAATTATGATAAAATTATATTAACGTAGCCAATAACTTAATCTATCGGAAATTAAATGAGAATAATAATCATTTGAGGTTAGAAATTGCTGGCTTTGAACATTAATAAATTTAAAGGCATACAAAATGAAATCTGATAATCAAATGGTGTAAAAAGACGTATTTTTTAGACGTAAGTTTTTAGCCTTCATTGGATTTTTACAATTTAATCGCCTATCTAGCTGTTATTTGACCTTTCAACGTTCCACAGCGATAAGATCTCATACGTCTTGCCTTAAAATATTATTTTTTTGCCAAAATATTTTGAAGGGATCCACCGGAAGAAGAAACTTTGAAATATCAGCAATTAGTCTGTGAAAATTTTGCACTTCATTAGACAAAAAAACTAATATAGCTAACTCAAAGGTAATGGACGAATACAATAAGTAAAAATGCTTAGTAAATTGTCTAATAAAATAGGATCGTTAATTTGAACAAGCCTTTCTCTTAAATCAGTTAAATTTCTCTTAGTATCCGTAACCTTTGGAGACAGCGGTTGAGGCAATGGAGGAACAGTTGGATCCCAGTCATTTTGTCTCTTATAAAACTGAAAATATTAATTTCGCCTTCAATTTGTAAATTAGGCCTTTAAGAACATTACAATAGAAGTTTATTTAATTTAGTCGATCTGGTGCAGTGTTCAATAGCCCTATTTGTCACTTGAGAGTTTTCGCACCAGATGGCCATTGACGCCTACCTGAGAGCAGAATGATCAACCCCAAACGCTTAGAACGTCCAACAAGTGGTGTTAAAAAGCTACTCTTCGAGAATTTTGCCTACTACACTTGTCAACATTTGACGATTCGAGTTACAATCCAGAATGCCCGCACGAAGTCACAACTCCAACAGTGAAATATCGTAAGAACGCCTGTGTTTAAATGGTATGTTGTTCAATATTGTGAAATGTATAAAATTAAACCACTCTGATTAAATTTTATCAGAAATCGATATTTGCATGTCGTTACCTCGTAGGTTAGCAAATAAAAATATTGTTATTAAGTATTTGGAAATACTTCAGCATTAATTTAATCAAATGATAATTGATTACTAAGGCAAATTGCGGGAAAATTAGTCATCATCATCATAAAATTAAAGATCCTGTTTTTTGAAAAAATTATTTTAACAATTTGCAGTTAATTTTTACTTACAAGGAATCTAATTCAACTAGTTAAAATTGTGTATTTGGCTGTTGTTTGTTTTATTTATTTGATATAAAGTTGACGTCTATTTCGATTTACCTTGATATTCCTCATTTTAGAAAAAAATTAACGCATGAATTTCGAAATAAAAGTTTACCTGACAGTCGAAGCAACTGGTGTGTTCAACAATATTGTCGAGATAAAGAACCATTTCAATACTAATAGTGGAGGTCTTAAATCGGTCGTCCAACTCAAAAGTGTAACAGTTGTGGTAAATTCTGTACATTGTCTTGATCCATCGCCCAGCTCTATCGCAATTTGTTCCGCGTGTTGAAGTTCCGTTTTGATAGAGTACTGTACATGTTCTCACCAATTGCTCCAAATGATGGCCAAGATCATTTGGGTCCATGCCTTCAGGTAGGTTAAGGAGATAGGATTCAAGTGAAAGGAGGTTTGTAAATTGACTGGCATAATTTTTATCCAAATGACGAGCAACATTTAAAATTGCGCCGAAGTATGTTTCTACGGGAACAGCTCCCCTGCTAATCAGACGATCAACATCTGAAGATCTGAAAGGTCTGAGATTACAAATTGTCAAAGAAGGAAAAGCTCTGGGAGCATCAAAGATGGTTTTGGGTTGGTGGATGACGTCATACTGTAGATACTGTTTGGTAATCAAAATCAGGCAAGCTATGCAGCCGATGAAGAATAAGAAGACAAAATTGGACCATAGGAGACGTTTGCGTCTGTCGGATGCGTGAACAATTCGGGGCACCCCACGAAGTGATGTATTTTCACAGAACTGGATGAAAAGTTCGGAGATCTGTTTAAATTTGGGTTTAGAATGGTCGATTCGGGGAAAATCATCACCGTTGCTCCAACTTGACCCCTTTTTGTGTAGGAGCTCCTGTTGAGGCTCTGAATTAATCTGATGGGTCATTGTGGGTCACAAGCTAACTTGCATCTCCTTGCACTTGGAAGTTCGTGGTGAAGATAGACTAACTTGGAGTCGACTAGCCTGTGGTGATGAATATGGTTGACCTAGTCTGTTGCGTTTTAGCAATGAGCGACCACTTAGAAGGGGATTCTACGGATTGGACAAGTGGCGTGCGTCCGTGAGAGCTTCTACTGGGGCGGAGGAGNCATAGAATTATAGAAAAAATTTCTTTATTTAGATAAAATATTTAATAATACATATGGTAACGGAAAGGATTACTTTTTCTTGTTTATATTTTCCATAAAATTTTGAAATTAGAAATAAATTGCACTAGTTACATCAAGGTATTTGTAAGAAAGTATCACGTTGTGAATAAACTATCGTCCAGTAAACGTAAGGATAAAACGATGTCTATTAAATGCGTTTTAGTAAACAATAGTTGGATCAAAAATTACCTCTGAGAGGTGGTTAATCCTATGCAAAGTTATTTAACTAAAAGCTTTTTTATTATTAGTATTATCATTGTGGGGTGTGCGATAGACTTATCTCCACGTGGTGCACCCTGGGCAACGTATACTCATACGGCAAAAAGTCTACTATTCGACAGTTGACTTCTGACTTCAAAATACCATGGCACGACTGCTTGTCATATTCGACTGCTTCCGCAGTACTCATCTTACCCTTTTCTCTGCCTTTGTGTCTGTCTGCCTTTTTTACATCTATGAATCGCTCTTCTGTTCCCCACCCCTCGACTTTCTGCTACTTTGATGAACCTCCCTTCTGTGAAGCCCGAAGTCAACTAAAGGGCTAATGATAGCTATCAAAACGCCTGCCATTTGAAATAAATAAATAAATATTATCATTGTTGCTACCACTTGAGTGCTAGGTAAACAAAACGAATATTTGCAGCAGGTCAATAAACCGGATACGCCAAAATGATTTAAATTATGACGTATTAAACATCACGCAATAACAAAGTAACACAATTTGGGTATAATTTATGATAAACAGGAACGATTTCAATGTGAAAACTTCCTTTGTACGTATGCACATTTAATGAGCGATATTAGGCGCTTCGAATGAAAGATATTATTTTTTGGTGGGAAAAAATCTAAATTTTCTTTCAGCCAATAATATGAAAGGAATGAAGTCGCAAAAAAATACGGGAGTAAATGACGCCTCGTATCCAAACAAAGAAGTCGAGAAGCGTTAGACAGTCGGAGGGGGAGGAGGGCTGCCGATGACTCAGCGATGTTGGTATACCAAAATCACCGACGTTAAAAGTGTTACTCATCTATATATCGAAATGTTGTTACAATTTTTGACAAGAAAATTTCAATTAATAATAAATTTGAATGAACTTTTGGTAAGCCGAATTCGAGATAATTAATTTACAAGATACCTGAATAAACATGGCAGTTTATTAGAAAAAAGTATGTTGTGATTTCAAAATAGCAATTTACGAAGTTTTTTGATCAGACAACGATCACATTCTCTTCGATCATTATTTCGAGGTGGATCCTCAAAGTATTCTAGATCAAATGTGTATGGAGTGACTTGTGGGTCAAAACAATATTCGCTGACCTTGTTAACTCAATTTAAATACACTTAAAAGTTTTATTATCCTCAATTTCAACTTTTTAAAGTTCTATTTACAGAGGTCTCAAGGGGAAGGTAGTTGGCTTGCAACTCAAATTGCGGTTAATTAACCGGCTGACTAGCTAGCCAATAGCTGTAGTGCTATTTGCTGCATTAATGAGAGCACCGTTTGCCATGAAATAATAATTCAGTATTAGAGAAATAGGGCTTACAAGTTTCCTCAGCTAATTTGTACTTTCTAAGTTTTTGCCTGCTTTTATTCTCCAACAAGGAAAAGACAATGTTGAGACAAATATAATGAATATCATTTACCCATTGAGTCTTCTTTACTGAATGTCTTTGATAAGTACTATACTAATATTAAGTAAATATTAAAATATTCTAGTTTTCAAATAGTCTTTTCTGTTTTAGTGGGTTTCATTGATTGAAAATATTTTATTTAAAATGATTTTTATCATTGGCTCTTTAGCTGACTTCGGGCTTCACAGAGAGGAGGAACATCAAAATGAGAAAAAGTCTATAGAGGGGAGGGGGACAGAAGAGTGATCCTAAGATGCAAAATAGACAGACATAAATGTAGAGAAAAGGTATGCCGAGTACTGTGGGAGTGGTGGAATATGACATACAGTGGGGTCATGGCAGTTTGAAGTGAGAAATCAACTGCCCGTTAATAGACTTTTTTTGCCCAATGAGTATACGTTGCCCAGGGTACACCACGTGGAGATAAGTCTATCTCACACCCCTTAATTGAAAATATAAAGTCTTGTTAACAAACTCAAAGAAACAAATTACGGTGAGGGCCTGTCAAATAATGACCGAAATTTATTGAAATTAGTCCACTTTAATTAACCCACTGATACTGAAAATAATGAAACAACAGATTTCTTGGACAATAGCCATCAAATTACTGATTGTTTCCATATAACTTGTAAATGAGGATTATGCAGTACATCAACGCATTTTTACATTTTACCCATTTAACGAACAT